AAAAAGAGAGGCAGAGAGACAAGTAGAGACACTGCGCATTGTAGAGCAAAAGGTTGCTCTCTGAGACGCGACGGAAACTTAAAACTCGATTACGCTTACAGCTAACAAAAGCGAAAGAAACAAAAAGCAAAAAAAAGAGTTTAACTTCACCTTTTAACTGAACCCAGACCCAAAATCGAAATAAGCCAGAGTGTGCAGAAAGTGCCGGACTATGACATACCCTGTAGTGCTATTTCTCAGCAAGTTTTGTATTTTCATTGTCATTGTCATCATTATTATGTTTACAAATGTAAATTAATAATTAATTAATTCAATTTATTTTATTATTCTTTCCAACATTATCCACTCATTACATATATTACAAACAATATACCCCTTTTTACACATACGCAAAGGGTTCGGGCCATTAAGAGCCAAAGCTGTGGCAGCCGCCAAGTTGAGTCATGAAAAATCATCGACTGCACATGTTCATTTTGTTGTTGCTGTTGTTGTTGTTAACAGTTTTTGAGTGCAGGAAGTTGTTAAGGTTTTTCCATACGACGAACCTTGAAATTTTCGGCTGCTCCAAGTGAAATAGAAAGTTTTACTTTTAATAACAACGAGAGCAGACACAACAACAATCAAAACAAACAATGACGACAGCAGGCAAAGGCGTTGCTGTTGCTCGCGATGTTGTTGTTGCTGCTGCTATTGCTGTCATTAAACGACTCCATTTTGTTTCCAATGAGCGATCGCCAAATGGGCAACAGTTGTTGTAGCTGCCCACGCAGGCGCCTGTCAACATGAGCAGCACACGCTTGTTTACATTCTCCGTCCGGATGGCGTTTATGGAGTTGGCTTTCTTGGCGTTTCGATATTCGGCTTAAGTCTTGAACGGAAGTGCTGCATTGGACTCATAATTAGTTGGCTGCCATCCCAAGTTAAATGACTCATGCGATTTTTGGGACGCTGTTGCGTAACTTCAGCTGAGCCTCGGATATTGCATGTGACGATGATGAAGAAGAAGAAGAAGCGAAGTTGTTGATATATGGACGAATACGCAGAGAAAAGGTAAATGCAATAAGTAAAAAGAATACAAAAATCTGGAATTGCATAAGAGCGAATATATTCCAGGTATCCATTAGCTGGAATATTTCCAATCATAATGAATAAGAAGAAGATGGGACTTTTGATTTATAAAAGAAGCAGGCAGACAAAAGGTAAATGCAATAATTAGAAAGAGAAAAAACTGGAATTGCATAGGAACGAATATATATTCCAGGAATAATATCAATCAGAGACAAACTAGTGTGGCCTTGGCTTATGAATACCAAACAAAAGACGAGCATTAGCCCACATACATTCATAAATATGTATACTAAATTTATACTTTCAACTTTCCACGTTATCCATTGTTAAAGCTTACCTCAAATATCAATCATTAGTCCAAATGCATTAGCAGTTTTTCTTTGATGGATTTACGATTTTTATGTTTCTTAATTTTTTTTTTTCTTTATGTCTTGTCTATTGAACGTTATTTTCAATTACATTTCGCGCACACAACAAATTTCTCCGAAAAAAACAACAAAAACTGCAAATACACAGGCAAAAAGGCAACCAAATTGAAATTTCTATAAACATAATAGCCGATCCAGCGAATGACAGTGAAAGAGCGCGAGAGCGAGAGGAGAGGGCAGCGAATGAGCGGACGATACGGAGGTTGGGATGGCCAGATGAAGCTCGTTTGACAGCCAACGGCAGAGACGGATGCGAAAATGTGGTTTTGCGGCTGCAAGGAATGCAGCAAAAGCTTTAAAATATTATCGAAAAACAAAATCTAAGATAGCCATAGAGAGCGAGAGAGACGGAGATGCAAATGTTAATGGGTAAAGCAGCTGCCAGTGTTGTAAAGAAAAAACAAAAACAAAATTGGCACAAAAGCGCAACGTCGCCAAAATGGGACAACTAACTGTACAAAGCTAGCGCTGGAATAGCATCTGGAATTGGATTGGAATTGGTGCTGGGGCAATTTAGTGCTCGATCCCATTGGAAATAGCCAACATGTGTAGGCCGCGCCAACCGGCATAAGCTGGTCAATCGAGCGAAAGACAGGTTACAGACATTTTTGTATAGTGAATGAGCTGCCTGGAAGCGAACTGGAAGTTTATTTCAAAAAGACAACGCGCGTCTGGCATCCGGCTTGGCCAACCGACAACAGAGTTGCAGAGGCTAATTAGTAGCTTTGGTATCTGCCCTTGCAGTTAGGTCATTATATTTAATCAACGTTTAGTTTTTATTAGTTTTGTTTTTCTGTTATGCTGTGCGCTGCAGCGGCATTTATTTTAATTAACAGTGAAAAGATGTGCACGAAAACAAATTATAAAAATATGCTTGCAACAAATTTCACAGCGCGAAATCCACGTAATTTGCAACAACAACAATAATAACAAAGACGCAGTTTAAGATGGTGGCAAAAGGTAGCGCAAAAAAAGAAAGTTTTGTTTTTTGTCTGCTTATTGTTGTTATTGCCGTATTTTTGCTTTTCTACACACATACACATGCACACTCAGGTACCGAGAGAGACACACACGAACACACAGCAACGACGACGCTCAAATATCATTCATTCGAATTCCGTTTACATTTTGCCTTTTGCGGCTGCTTCTTCTTTCAATTTTTAATTTATAAGGCAACGTCAACGACAACGGCAAAAGCAGCTCGTTTTAGTTATTCACTTTTCTAAGATTAACGCACACATAGGCACACACACACGCACACACTTACACGAAGTGTTCGACTCGTTTCTACATTTACCGTCAACAGGTGCTCTACGCACAGCGGCTCAACGAATACTGAATGTGGATTATGTAGCCAGCTCTAAGCATGGCCTGTGGTGAGTTTCTTCAATTTCTTTGAGTGAGTTTCTTAAGCTGCTGTGGTGAGTTGAGCGCCCGCTGCCATTGACTCTCGCCGCAACGACAACAACAATTGAAAGTGCCAACCTATCGAATATATCCAATTGAGCGGCTGCACTTGCGAGTATTATTAGCCAACTGCAAAAGGCAAAAAAAAAGAAGAAAAAAACGAAAATGCAATTGTAGGTAACTGCCAATAGATTGGCCTAAACAGCACATTAACCACTAATCGCGGCAACTGCAGATTGGCATTTGCCAATTTCCATCTGCCCAAACGCCGCTAACAAGCCGCCGGCTTCAATTGCTCTATGTTCTCTACGCCCATCTGCCTTCTAGTCGTGTGTGTGGGAGAGACGGTGTGGGGGAAATAGTTAAATTCCAATCAGCAGCGTACTCAACAATTACCGCGCAAATTGCAAACGCACGAGATCAAGATTAGGCGTGCACAAAGACAAAGGCCGCTAAGCAATTGAAAATGAAAACTGGAAACAAGAAATGGGAAGTTGTTGAGCATAGGCGAGACCTTCGATGCCCTATACATGTTGAAACAGAATTTATGAATAAATTAGATAATAAGATTGTATTACAATTCTAATCGTAATTTTATTTCATTGTCAAATCCAAATATTGCTGCTGACGAATATGTATGTACATACATTGTTGGTAGATTGCATCTACTTTTTGCTTTCGTTCAAGCATTTAACTAACACGCTGTTAAATTCATGTGTTTTCCTCGTAGCTTCGGGGCTTGCTTCAGGCCACAATGAATTTTTGTTTTTCATTTAATAATTGGCTTTTTTGAAAATTTGTGTGTAAAAACGATTATAATATATTAATAAATTGATATTGCATAATTTTGTATTGTATACACAAACACAATAATTATAACGGAATATCCAGTTCATATAAGCGCATCTAACGGAACTGTACATCAATAGTGTGTGTGTGGTGTGCTTACACTACATGCATTTGGCATACAATGATTTTATATACTCTACCCTTCCCATTACACTTTTACAGTGGAACGAAAAAAATTCACATTTGTTACTCTCAGATTAATAACATACACACATGCATATGAAATTATGAATTTGTGACGTGCTGCCAAAAATAACAAGAGAAATACGCAGACTTCCAGCTGGAAAGGCAATTCCAAAGGAAAGGCAATTTGTAACAGAAAATTCAATAAACAACAAACTAGTCTATTTTTAAAATATTATCCTCTTATATGCATGTATGTACTTGCAATACTTATGAGTCCTTAGTCCCTTATATACCCTACGCTTGCTTCTATGGTCGAAGCTTGAAAATGTTTCGTTTTCCATTTCTATGGAGTCTTCTCTGCTGTCGTCGCCGCCACCGTCGATGCCCGAGCAATCCGCCTCTATTACACGAGTCACAATTGCGTTTGCGGCTTACCACGAGTATACGATTGCATTTGCACCCACCACAAAAGGAGTGGGAGGAGCTGCAGCAGCAGCAGCAGCCACAACCTGAGCATGAAACACAAGAGGAGCCGATCACGAATCTTGCTGGCGGTATTTCGTTTTTCATGTCACCTCATTTGGCAGCCAAGCAAAGAGGAAAAAAAAAAACTTAAAGAGAAAAAACAACAAGTGATAAGAAGAAGACAATCGAAATCGAAGACAGAAAACCCATTGGCCATGACCAGTGAAATTTCTGTGCACTTACCTTCACAGTATTAACCAGTTTTTATTCCATTTTATTTTTATTTATTTTTTTATTATTGTTTGCCACCTGTTAATAGGGAAACCCTCACAACTGGCCATAATTGAGCACGTCGGCAGCTTTAATAGTTCTTAGCCTCTTTGGTATTAATGTCAAATTGAATGATGATCAAACGGTAATTGAGGGTTCCCCATTGAGCGTCTGATTCCATTTTGCGGTCAGTGGTCGCTGCGTTAAAACTTTGTTTATCTATCTTCTCATAATTTATTCAATATATGTATTTGAGTACAATTTGTGTAGCGAAACTAAATCTGAAGCAATGGTAAAACACAAAACGGCAATGGCCGAGGGAAACAATAAGATAAATTGATTGCAAACTGGAATATTAACTTAAGTTAAACAAAACACGTTGGCTTCTTTGCCTAGTACTTGGGCAACTCGGAGTAGCGTGGAGGCGTGGACCAGAGCACACTTGAATTCCGCTTCAAGTGACTGGGATCGATGTTGGGGAAGATGTTCTTCAGATCTGGCGTCTGTGGCGCCACCGAGAAGAAGCTATCAATGATGTCCGTTGGGCAGAAGGTTTGCAGTATCATTCCTGCGCCACGCACGTGAGCTGCAAAATAATTGCATTAGTATATAGATATAATGACATAATGTATTGTAGCTTACAGCGACTCCAGGTGGGCACCGGTGGCCTCTTGTAGGAGACTTTGCCCTCATCATCGGTGGAGTCATCCTCGTGCAGCATTTCGAAAGTGTATTTCGATTTCGGTGGTGGCGGCATCATTTTCTTGGCCTTGGCCGACTGCAGCTGCTGTTGCAGCTTCATTTGCGCCAGCATCTCGCGTTCCTGTTCCTTGGCCTTGGCTTTCTTCAATCGTTCGGCTTCCTCTTGTTGATTCAACTTGCGTTGCAGCTCCTCCATTTCCATGCGTTTGCGTTCCTCCAGCAGCTTCTCCTGCTGTTTCTTCAGGCGCTTCTCCTCGCGCTCCTTGGCCAGCTTAGCCATACGCTCGGCCCGCTCACGTTCTTTAGCCTCGCGCAACTGTGCCGCCTGCAAATGCTTCTGCTCCCGCTGCTTCTTACGCTCCTCGGCCAGCTGGTGCAAGCCCTTACGGAAGTCCTCACCGCTGTTCTCACGCGTTAAGGTTTTGTTGGATCCCGAATTGGCAGACTTAAGATTTGTACCCGTCGCGGTTTTCAATAGGGTTGTAGCTTTGCAGGCACTCATTGGCGCCTTCTTGGGCTGCGCTGAATTTGTCAGAATTGCGGTTGAGCTCTGTGTAGGAGTCAGGAAACGTCCAAGCGTTGGAGCCTGTAATTTTCCAATGACTGGCGTTGTACTCGAACCAGTCACGCCCTGGTAAAGCAGAAACAAGGAGTATTATACAAAAAAAGCGAGTGAGACAGCATTTTTTAAAAAACCTACAGCGTCCTTGATGCGTTTGGAGCGTAGATTACTTTGAGCTTGGGCAGCATTCTCAAAGGCCTCCACGCGCATTTTCACGGGGCTCTGCATCAAGGGACTGAAAGAAGAAAATATATATTATTATAATACTTGTAATCCTGCATATCACTTACTTGAATAGCTCGTGCGTGCGCGCTGGCAGCTTGATGCCTTTCAGGGATTTGGGTATTGGCTGCTCAGGGACTTTTGGTTTGGCCGGCTCGTGCAACGACTCGTCCTCGGTCAACAAGCTCGTATCCTGCGCCCCATCGGGCAAACTGTTCTCCTCGCGCGCCGTCTTCATCGAGTTGTCCTTTTCTGATTCCACTTGGAACGTGGCATTGCCAGCCAGATTGTCGCCCAGACACATTGTGGCATTCGATGTGGGCATATTGACATCGAATGTGGCATTGGGCAAGGTTACAGTCTCGTTCATTACAACACCAGTTGTTGGCACTGCAGCAGTGGGCACATCCTCTACAGCATCTTCGTAGATGGAAGCTTGAGGTGCAGCAGCTGTTTGCGACTCCTGGGAGTTGCGCGTGTTGTTGCTGCCACGACGTGTACGCGATGCGATTGGCAAATTCTTATCCAGATCGCTGAGGCGCTCCACCTTGATGGGCTTGTGGGTTTCCTTCTTTTTGCGGCCCTTCTTTGTGGTTGTTGTACTGTTCGCTGTTGTTGTTGTTGTAGAAAGTATGGTTGATTCGTTTGTGAGAGTTTTTGTTGATTCCAGCGTAGTTGTTGTAGCTTCCGCGTTGTCGTTGCTCATTTTCTCACGCTTGACCTTCACACGCAGATTTGTGGTGGATAACTCGTTATCCTTTGCCTTTGACCCGACGGCAGCGGGTGCTGGTGCTTTAGCAGCCACAGATTCTTCTGTGGGAACGTTTGGAAGTTTTATTGTATGCATTTGTGATGCACGCTGCTCACTCTCTAGCTTAATCTTGACCATTTCCTCATTACTGGGTCGACGGAGTTTTACATTTAGGGGCGGCTCTTTGAGGTTCTTCTCAGAGCGTAATTTGGCCGCTCGCTGTGGCCGTCCGCTGCTCATGCTGGTCTCAGCTGCAATCGCCGCAGGCGCTGGCGGTGGTGGCATCAGCGTGCCTGTGGTATTTACTACCTCTTCATCCTGCTCCTCGTCAGCTGCAGCCAGTAGCTGGGCGTTACCCAAGCGAGCGCTCTGTCGCTGTGAGACCTGGATATCGGGGACATCTGCGGGTGCTATTTTGTATATAAGTTAGCATGGAACATTTCACTTCAATTTCACAATTTACCATCGCCATCATCCTCGGCCAAAGATGTCAAACGCTTGGCTCGCTTCTTCGTCTGCTGCGGCGTGATAGAGCTGTTGCTGCTGTTATTGCTGGGCTTTGTTGCTGCTGCAACTTCAGTGATTTTCACCTCCGCCATGGCGGAAGCTATGCCAAAGAACAACTGGTCCAACTCCTCGAAATGGGTCTGGTGAGAAAAATGAGTTGTGTCGCTACTTCATGTAACTGTAAAATTTACTTTGTATACCTTGCGTATTGCTTCCATTTCTGTATGGAGTTTGGACACAGTTTGCATTACGCCCAGTAGGTCGTCCATTCTGTTCACAAACTTTTAACAAGTAGAGCAATAAATAATTTAACAACAGAACAACTTTTATTTTTCGACTGCTTTCCGTTTATTTCAAATGGCGGCAATGAGAAGCGCGTCGCCCCTACAACACAAGCGAGATATGACATGAAAAAATATCGATATGAACTATACAACTATCGATTGATACAAAGTGGCAACTCCACGCTGCTATGACGATATTAACAAGCACTGTCCCAGCTGTTTTCCCGCGCAAATGAATAATTTTTTATGATTAACTCAATATTTTTAGCTTATTCGATATTAAACGTATGCTTGCAATGCTAATGAATAGTTTTCATTTAATAAATTGACATATGGATACCGGCAGTTTTGTTTATGACAAATGTGCTCGTTGCAGCTGCTCATGTTTGCAGTGCTGTAAAATGGCGATCGATGGCGAATGCCATGAGTGTTTTATGAACTGCAAGCAAGCCTATGCAACAAAGTGTACTACGCAAATCAGATTAAGCTTATGGTTTTTGTGTTTATTATACATTTTGGGTGATAATTTTGCATACGATGAGAAAATATCGAGTATATCGAATGATATGCGCAGTGTTGTTAGCCAAATAGCAGGCATGCTGGCCGAACCGGTGCTGTAAAATACTCAAATACATTGTTAAAATTCGCTAGAAATTCGCAAGCCAGCGAAAATTTAGTAATAACAAGGGTAAACAAGGGTTTCGCGCGCGCGTTGCGTTAACAAACAAGTAAGATGTATATATGAGAAGCCGCACGTCGTACACAGACACCACTTGTCACCAGGAATAACACCAATACAAATAGAACACGCAGCAGCAGCAGCAGCAGCAATGGGACTCGACTTTGATGTCGTGGAGTACTGCAAAGGTGTGAAATCAAAACAGTCCCAGCCGCCGTTCGCCTGTCCGGTGCGCGACTGTGATCGCAGTTATAAAACATTGGTTGGCCTCCAGGGCCATCTCACCAATTACGACCACGACAATCCACAGCCCCTGACGCCCATTCTCAAGCCCAATCGAAAAAGGGCGCGCTCTTCACGCGCGCTCCACTCAACGCCCAAAGACAACGGCAGTGGCGGCGGTGGCGGAGGTGGTGGTAATTCTGAAGGAGAAAATGGTTGCGGCAATGGTAGGAGCACTACGAATCCGGAATCTTTGGTCTCGTACAATGAGCAGGAGGGTACGGTTACCTTCAATATTGATGGCAAGAGTGTACGATTGGGTATTGATGAACCGCTGCCACTGGTCGACGATGAGGAGTTTGCCGAACTGGTGGAGCGTGGCTGTATACTGAATGCTGACGCGCCGCCACTGGAGGAGAATGCAGCGTGGGCACAGGTGCAAGTGCCCGTTGCGAATGTCCGTGAGATCAATGACTACAATGTGCCTGATGCGCCGCCCAGGCCCTTGGCCTACTATCGCTTCATTGAGAAGTCGGCCGAGGAGCTGGACGGCGAGATAGAATATGATGTGGACGAAGAGGATACCGCTTGGCTGGAGCATATGAACGAGCTGCGCGCCAAGCAAAATCTCAATGCTGTTAGCATTGATACCATGGAGTTGCTAATGGACCGCCTCGAAAAGGAATCTCATTTCCAGGCAGCCGCAAATGGCACGCCCACTGGCGTTGAGGTGGATGACGATGCTGTGTGTTGCATTTGCTTAGATGGCGAGTGCCAGAACACCAACGTGATACTCTTCTGCGACATGTGCAACCTGGCTGTGCATCAGGATTGCTACGGTGTGCCCTACATACCCGAAGGCCAATGGCTGTGCCGTCGTTGCCTTCAATCGCCCAGCAAGGCGGTCAACTGTGTGCTCTGTCCGAACGCGGGCGGAGCATTTAAGCAAACGGATCACGGCCAGTGGGCGCACGTGGTATGTGCATTGTGGATACCAGAGGTGCGCTTCGCCAATACCGTGTTCCTGGAGCCAATTGGTAAGCCGCTCAAATACCCCACAAAATAACATAGATCTAAATGCAAATTTGTGTTCATTACCCGGCAGATTCTATTGAGACCATACCGGCTGCTCGGTGGCGGCTCACCTGCTATGTGTGCAAAGAGAAGGGTCTGGGTGCTTGCATACAGTGCCATCGGAACAGCTGCTATGCCGCCTTTCATGTCACCTGCGCCCAGCAGGCAGGCCTCTATATGACCATGGACACGGTCAAGGATGGCCACAACGATAGCTCGGTGCATGTGCAGAAGTTTGCCTACTGCCACGCCCATACCCCCGCCGACGCAAAGCTCAAGACAAATGTGCCCGACTTTGAGGATACGCGTCTAAAGATGCGCGAGGCGCGCAAAGCGCTGGCCAAGAAGCGTTCAACGGCGCCCGTGGTGCTAATACCGACAATACCACCGGATCGTGTTCACGAGATCGCGGGCATGGTGCACATGCAGAAGAAGAAGGAATTCCTTGATCGCATCATTGCCTACTGGACGTTGAAGCGTCATTATCGCAACGGAGTTCCGCTGCTGCGCCGGCTGCAGAGCCAGGGCAACAATCATGGGGTGATCCAACGCAACGGCATCGAAGGCTCGCCGGCCCCGAAGGAACTGTACCGACAGCTCAAATACTGGCAGTGCTTGCGCCAAGATCTGGAACGAGCGCGTCTGCTCTGTGAGCTGGTGCGCAAGCGTGAAAAGCTCAAGGTGGCATTTGTGAAAATCTCTGAGGAAGTGGTAATGCTGCAACTGAATCCGCTTGAATCGGCTCTCAGCAAGCTCCTAGATGCGCTGGAAACACGCGACACCATGGAGATATTCCGAGAGCCCGTAAACACCAACGAGGTGCCCGATTATATGGACATAGTCAAACAGCCCATGGATTTGGGCACCATGCGCGCGAAGCTCAAGGATTGCCGTTACACGAAACTGGAACAGCTGGAAGCAGACTTTGATCTGATGATACAGAATTGTCTGGCGTACAATAACAAGGATACAGTGTTTTATAGAGCTGGCATTCGGATGAGAGATCAAGCAGCGCCGCTCTTCGTGCAGCTGCGAAAGGAATTGCAGCGGGATGGCTTGCTGGAGCGTGGACAACGCATCCATGTGGACCATGTGGAGGGCGAGGTGGAGCAGGAACTAAGACAACTGCTGTCAGCGCCGCCCAGCGAGGATGTGGTGCAAAAGCTGCTCATACTGGCCGACAAGGCACAGGTGCTCAAGAATCCCAGCTATCGGGCGAAGAAGATCAAGCAAATCCGTCTGGAAATCAATCGAATGCGCAAAACCCTGCAAAAGGCGCGCTTTGCAGCGGTAAGTATACAATTGTACATATTCCAAGTGGATTAGTTGATTAATGGCAATCCCTTTTAGCGCTATGCAACGCACGCAAACTCACAAAGCGACGAGGACAACGAAGAGACGCGAGTGAAGCCCTCAAAGAAACGCATGCGCAAGCGTCTCAATAGCAGCGCCATGGACTTAGATGAGTCGCTGGATGCGCCGCAGAGCCAGCAACATGATGAAGATGAGGACGACGAGGATGACTCGGATGACGATTCGTTGGCAGACGATAATGTCAGCAAAGACACTGGTCATATGGTTCAAACGCCGCCCTGCAGTCCTGTCAAGAGTCTCAACAATAGCAGCTCACCCGTGGGCATCAATCGAAGGTGCGTTAAAAGAGATCGAGGCCTTTAATATTGTCTGTATATGTTTTAAAATGAGTCGAGCATAGGCGGATGTCAGATATTTAAGAGTTGACAATAATATGCATATATTTATGTATAGTATAGGTAGATATAGTGTTAGCTCTGATTTTTGCTATAAATATTGTAGGATTATATATCATGGGATAGTTAAGCATGTTTGTATGAGGGATAAGATAGCGATTCTATATACATAACATAGTAGGATTACTTCCGTAGTTATCCCAGTAGCTCTTAATTGAATTGTGTAGCAGAAGCTGCAGTGGACCTCCCAAAAAGTGAGTGTGTATAGGGAAAGTACGGCCAAAAAGTTACGATTAAGAGGGCGTGCCTCAGATAAATATCCAAAGATGGGGTTTTTTGAACTATCCAAAAAGAGAAGATATTCCGTGCTTCACAATCTAAAATTATATGAATCATAGCCGCTACTTTCGTGAGATTAAGTTATGAGAATAACAAAATTGAGAACATGATAAATAGGTCGGAGCATAAGATTTATATTTGGTAAAGGGTATTTCCAAGTCAGGTGGCTTATAATCTCGTGAAATGACTTACGGGCGTTATTGAATTGTTCTGATTAACCCATCAATTGCTTTTCGCATCCTTTAGAACGGCCATTTTATTGACGCGCAAGTCGCAGGCGGCGCTCAAGCGACCATCGGAGCCACTGACGACGCCTGTTAAGGAGGAGCACCACAATTTGCAGTCATTGGGCGCGCAGTCGACGAGCGCCAGTTCGAGTGCGACGACGACCGCAGCCACCGCCGCCTCCAGCGCAATGAATGCTTCGCTGCATGCAGCGACTGCGACGCCGACGGCCATGAGCAGCTTTGCATTGACGCCGCACAACAGCACAGTGAGTGTAGTTGGCATGGGCGTGGCAGGTGCCAGCCTCAGCTCCGCAGCGTTGTCCATGAGCAACAAGCTGAACCTGAGCCTGGGTGCAGGCTTGGGCATGTCCAAGTCGCCTAAGCGGCCTCCGCGTTATCGACGTTTGCCATCGACGTCACCAAAGAAGTCACCGAACCCAGCGGCAGCAGCAGCGGCGGCGGCGGCGGCAGCAGCAACGACGATGACGACGCCGACCACGGCTCAGTCCATACCTGCCTTAGCGTCGGCGGATCCGGCGCTGCCATTCGAGCGCATTCCAGACAGCTTCCGCGTGTACCGAGCCAACAATCAGCGGGACGTTAGCGAGAGCGACGATGCACCCTCCCAGTCGAGCAGTCCGTGCAGCAGTTGCTCGGACTTCAGCATGTCGGGCAGCTGCTCGGACTTCGATAGCGATGAGGCGAGCGATGGCGATGCGCACAGCGACGACGGCGATTCGGATAGTACGAAGGCTCATGCGATGCGCGACGACTCGCAGGAGGACTGCACCACAGATGCCATGGACTTGCAGCACGCGAGCTTGAATAATACGCAGGGCAATGGCAACATGGCGATTAGCAGCAGCGACAGCAGCTCCGA